ATAAGTCCTCCCATCAGATAAATCCGCCTACAGATAAGTCTGCCATCAGAGTCCGCTTTTTTACTCACATAAAAACCTTCAGCTAAGTCCGTCTACGAATAAGTCCGATTTCTTCCCATTTAATCATCCTGAGATATTGTCAGGTAAGTCCGGATTATCTGTAGGCGGATCTATCTGATGGGAGGATTTATCTGCAAATTTCTTGGCGACGCAAGCGTGCATTTTCATCAATTTTCCTTGTAAAAAGGCGGACTTATCTGTAAGATTTTAGGGTACTCAACTTACATTCAGCCTCTTCTGGAAGTCAGTTTTCTCATCATCCGCCATTACTGCGATTTGCGCTGCAAACAGGCATCAATCACGCACAAGCTTCGCAAATGCCAAGCTATACTGTGCAAAGTATTTGCGATGTTGAGCATTCGGAACTAAAGTTAATGTAGTAAAAAGTGGCAACACAAACAAGATCTATTTTAGACGCTGTAGCAAAGCGCCCGCTCATTTTGACTCTTATATAGCGCTTTCGCAAGTCATTTCTCCATCATAGTACAACATTTTTGAAAGATGGCATTTACCTTCTTTATCTGCCTACAAACAAGGTTAAAATGGCATCTTGAATAGGTCTATTTTCATACTTTCGGCAGAACCAGTAAGAAGAAGTTAAGCGTTCCAAAAGGTTGTCACTTTTTTGCATAGACAAAAAATCTTCGTTTTCAAAGTCTTCTCAGAAAATTGGTGCGTTACACATGCTTGAAACCATCAGGAGAGCCAACAAAATTATAACTTGCTTGTTGTAGGTATGATATTCTGACTTTTTCTATGAGTCTCACAACTCTTGCTAAATCGAGAAAGAAATAATTTGTGTATGATAATCGCAAGTGCAAATCCACAGTCTCAATTCATTGACGTCCTTATTGGCTCCCAAAAATTGCATTACCGTTGTTCAGCTTTTCAAATTTTCTTCTCAAGTTCTCCGCTTTTCTCCAACCTTTTCGGAATTGCCTGTTCGGTAATCAACTGCGATACCATTGAAATTCTACTCTCCGAGAATACAATTTTCCTGTAAAACCATGGTTATTATCTTATATATAAAGCTGAATGTCTGTTTGTCTG